TCTGCTCATCCACACTACCAAGAATCTTACCATTAGCCCAGTACTCTGTATTCCTGTTACTCCTTCCAAAGTGAATCACCTCACACTTTTCCGCATTAAACTCCATTTGCCACCTCTCAGCCCAGCTCTGCAGCTTATCTATGTCCCTCTGTAACCTGCAACATCCTTCCGCACTATCCACAATTCCACCGACTTTGGTGTCATCCGCAAATTTACTAACTCATCCTTCTACGCCCTCATCCAGGTCATTTATAAAAATGACAAACAGCAGTGGCCCCAAAACAGATCCTTGAGGTACACCACTAGTAACTGAACTCCAGGATGAACATTTCCCATCAACCACCACCCTCTGTCTTCTTACAGCTAGCCAATTTCTGATCCAAACCGCTAAATCACCCTCAATCCCATGCCTCCGTATTTTCTGCAATAACCTACCATGGGGAACCTTATCAAACGCTTTACTGAAATCCATATACACCACATCAACCGCTTTACCCTCATCCACCTGTTTGGTCACCTTCTCAAAGAACTCAATAAGGTTTGTGAGACACGACCTACCCTTCACAAAACCGCGTTGACTATCCCTAATCAAATTATTCCTTTCTAGATGATTATAAATCCTATCTCTTATAATCCTTTCCAACACTTTACCCACAACCGAAGTAAGGCTCACTGGTCTATAATTACCAGGGTTGTCTCTACTCCCCTTCTTGAACAAGGGGACAACATTTGCTAGTCTCCAGTCTTCTGGCACTATTCCTGAAGACAATGATGACAAAAAGATCAAAGCCAAAGGCTCTGCAATCTCCTCTCTAGCTTCCCAGAGAATTCTAGGATAAATCCCATCTGGCCCAGGGGACTTATCTATTTTCACACCTTCCAGAATTGCTAACACCTCCTCCTTATGAACCTCAATCCTGTCTAGTCTAATAGCCTGTATCTCAGTATTCTCCTCGACTACATTGTCTTTTTCCTGTGTGAATACTGATGAAAAATATTCATTTAGCGCCTCTCCTATCTCTTCGGACTCCACGTACAACTTCCCACTACTGTCCTTGACTGGCCCCAATCTTACTCTAGTCATTCTTTTATTCCTGACATACCTATAGAAAGCTTTAGGGTTTTCCTTGATCCTACCTGCTAAAGACTTCTCATGTCCCCTCCTGGCTCTTCTTAGCTCTCTCTTTAGGTCCTTCCTGGCTAACTTGTAACTCTTAAGCGCCCTCACTGAGCCTTCACGCCTCATCTCTACATAAGCCTCCTTCTTCCTCTTGACAAGAGATTCAACTTCTTTAGTAAACCACGGTTCCCTCGCTCGACCACTTCCTCCCTGCCTGACAGGTACATACTTCTCAAGGACACGCAGTAGCTGTTCCTTGAACAAGCTCCACATTTCAATTGTGCCCAGCCCCTGCAGTTTCCTTCTCCATCCTATGCATCCTAAATCTTGCCTCATCGCCTCATAATTGCCTTTCCCCCAGCTATAACTCTTGCCCTGTGGTATATACCTATCCCTTTCCATCGCTAAAGTAAACGTAACCGAATTGTGGTCACTATCACCAAAGTGCTCACCTACCTCCAAATCTAACACCTGGCCTGGTTCATTACCCAGTACCAAATCCAATGTGGCCTCGCCTCTTGTTGGCCTATCTACATACTGTGTCAGGAAACCCTCCTGCACACATTGGACAAAATCTGACCCATCTGAAGTACTCAAACTATAGCGTTTCCAGTCAATATTTGGAAAGTTAAAGTCCCCCATAACAACTACCCTGTTACTTTCGCTCCTATCCAGAATCATCTTTGCAATCTTTTCCTCTACATCTCTGGAACTTTTCGGAGGCCTATAGAAAACTCCCAACAGGGTGACCTCTCCTTTCCTGGTTCTAACCTCAGCCCATACTACCTCAGTAGACGAGTTGTCATCAAACGTCCTTTCTGCCACCGTAATACTGTCCTTGACTAACAATGCCACACCTCCCCCTCTTTTACCACCTTCCCTGATCTTACTGAAACATCTAAACCCCGGAACCTGCAACAACCATTCCTGTCCCTGCTCTATCCATGTCTCCGAAATGGCCACATCATCGAAGTCCCAGGTACCAACCCATGCTGCAAGTTCACCCACCTTATTCCAGATGCTCCTGGCATTGAAGTAGACACACTTCAAACCACGTTCCTGCCTGCCGGTACACTCCTGCGACCTTGAAACCTTATTTATGACCTCACTACTCTCAATCTCCTGTACACTGGAGCTACAATTCAGGTTCCCATCCCCCTGTTGAATTAGTTTAAACCCTCCCAAAGAGCATTCGCAAATTCCCCCCCCAGGATATTGGTACCCCTCTGGTTCAGGTGTAGACCATCCCATTTGTAGAGGTCCCACCTACCCCAGAATGAGCCCCAATTATCCAGGTATCTGAATCCCGCCCTCCTGCACCATCCCTGTAGCCACGTGTTCAACTGCTCTCTCCCCCTATTCCTCACCTCGCTAGCACGTGGCACGGGTAACAAACCAGAGATAACAACTCTGATGGTTCTAGCTCTAAGCTTCCACCCTAGCTCCTTGAATTTCTGCCTTACGTCCCCATCCCTTTTCCTACCTATGTCGTTAGTGCCTATGTGGACCACGACTTGGGGCTGCTCCCCCTCCCCCTTAAGGATCCTGAAAACACGATCCGAGACATCACGGACCCTAGCACCTGGGAGGCAACACACCAACCGCGAGTCTCTCTCGTTCCCACAGAATCTCCTATCTGTCCCCCTAACTATGGAGTCCCCAATGACTAATGCTCTCCTCCTCTCCCCCCTTCCCTTCTCAGCAACAGGGACAGACTCTGTGCCAGAGACCTGTACCCCATGGCTTACCCCTGGTAAGTTCCCCCCCGCAACAGTATCCAAAACGGTATACTTGTTTTTGAGGGGAATGGCCACAGGGGATCCCTGCACTGTCTGCCTGTTCCCTTTCCGTCCCCTGACTGTAACCCGTCTACCTTTTTCCTGTACCTGAGGTGTGACTACCTCCCCGTAACTCCTCTCAATTACCCCCTCAGCCTCCCAAATGATCCGAAGTTCATCCAGCTCCAGCTCCCTAACACGGTTTCCGAGCAGCTGGAGTTCGGTGCACTTCCCGCAGATGAAGTCAGTGGGGACACTACTGGTGACCCTTACCTCCCACATTCTACAGGAGGAGCATACAACTGCCCTAACATCCATTTCCACTGTTCTGAATTCCCAAACAGACAAATAAAAAAAAACTAGTAGCCTTACCAAATCAGCGCTCAGAACCTTTTTTTTTGGTTAGAGGAGGAGGATGGGTGGGAGACACTACCTAGGTAGTGTTTTGGGTAAAGCAACCACCCAAATATATTACCTCACTTACTCCAAAAATGGAGTCACGCGAGGTAAGACTTTTATAATCAAACAGCTCACCTTCCCAGGCTGCCCTCGCGCTTCCTCCCGGACTCCCGCTGCTGAAACAACTGCAAGGCCACAGTCACGCGAGGCAAGACTTTTATAATCGAAAAGCTCACCTTCCCAGGCTGCCCTCGCGCTTCCTCCCGGACTCCCGCCGCTGAAACAACTATGTGATGCTATGTGATATGAAGGCATCTATTTAATCTTGGAAGTTTTCTTTTCTAATTGTATTCAATTTGAGTACATTCAGAGAACTGACCCCACGTTAAGCACACAATCAACCCTTTGAAGAATGAACTTACCTTGCAATCCAACTGATGGGAGATTACAAAGTCATACACAAAACAGTTTAAATATCAAACAAACAGCATACAGCTCAGAAAAGACTTGCGAAAACCAAGTGGATATGCTGACTCATTGAAGTACCAATTCTTGATGGAATGGAAATTACACAACTTAAAATTTCTCATGCTGTTAAGTTGCTGATCTCAGCTGCAAGACTACAAAGAGGGAGGTGACAAGGGCTAAGTTCACTTATTAATTTGCCATTCAAAATACATCTTATATAGAAAGAACATGAGTTTCAAGGTTGTGACATGCTGGACATTTGAAAGATTCCCTCACAGTGAAGAGGAACAATTTACATGAAACACAGCTAAATTTGTAAAAACCTTTCTATATACCATAATTCCATGTTATAAAGTTTCTAAGTGCATTTTAAACAGAAATTAATGGTTGTTTCTATGTAAATATTTAGGATTTAGTTTTATGCAGGATCAACAAAATGTTTCACAAAAGGATTAATCAGAACTTTTGTACCTTTTACCACTTCCAAATTCAAAAAAACTTACCTGGAATAGCCAACCATTCTGACATTACACTTAAAGCATTTGTCATAATTTTATCTTGTGCTACCAGTTGGTCAACAAGTCCAATTTTCAAGGCCTCTGAAGTACTGTACATTAGGCCAAGCTGGAGCGAATGCTCTGTGGCCCTTCGTCCAATGACATTAATCATGGTGTCCTTGAACCTTTGATGATGAAATAATAAAGAAACTACAACTTAGAACCAACAATAAAAGTTCAGCTACTTTCACCAAATGGTTATGGAAAAGCAACTACAATGTAAAATAACACAAAGGCAAGTTTGATCATGACCACTATGTTTGTAAATACTATTTCTCCCACAACCTATACACCCTCTATGTTCTCCCAGACCTGGCGTATTTTTCCTCCACTCACCTCCAATGCAACCTTGAGGAAAGTACTGGAAATTAAAACTTAGAGGGCTTTTCAATACCAGATAAGTAGAACTAGATTAAAAAATTGGGATCCAAGAACCGAAAGAAGAAAGTACTGGAAAAGCAAATTGTAAAATCACAAATCTGGTCAAATTCTGCTACTTCCCTGAACTGACATTTTTCTGGGGCCAAGAAGAGAAAGAGTCCATTCTGGTTCATAATAGTCTTCATAGTACCATGACTGATGCATTCTTATATTCTACAAATAAATTCAACTAAATAATTGTTATTTGTTTTATCTAGATTAAACAGACTAACACTTTCTAAAAAGCTGCCGCAATGAATGAATCTTTTCTTTCAGACGTGTGAACCTGCACTCTTCACAATTGTCCCATTTGCCCACTTTCACTTCTTTCAGAGGGAGACTCTCGGCCTTCAACTCTTCCCAGTTCAATCTTCACCTTACAACTTCTCTCAGTTTAAACACTCTCCCATTCTAAGTGCCGATCTTAGACTGTTCCCTTCTATCACCAATGCTTGCTAGCTCAAAGACTTTCTCCTCCAATTCACAAGCATGTTATTTTGTAACTGACCCCAGTATGGAGGCACTAGAGGCAGTATGTCTCTAACACAGAAGTACTTTCCTCCCTCAAATTTATGAAATTACAGATGTACTCACTTCCAGCTTACAGGCACTTAACCTCTAATATTTTTCATAAAATCTCTCTTCAAAATCATCTAGAGGCACTCTTCCCATTCAATAACTTCCTCTCAGTTTTGCAGTCACTTTTCCTGTCCAACGTTGCAAGTGGTCCCACATCCACACAGTTCTTCATAATATTTTCATAACACATAATGCTTACTGTCAGCCTTGGATGTAACTCTTATCTGAATTAAGTACTCTATTCTGAAATCAGCTTCTGTTTTGCAAATGAGAACTGCTATTTGCAACCGAGTCTTGTCTGATACAGGGTAAAACAGCAATTATCAAGGTGCTTTTCACACCAGCTGTAAGAACATCAGTGAATGGAAAGCTGCAATTTCTTGACCAGATCACTTGAGGCAGCAAATTAGCTTTGTTACTCAAACTCACCCCGCAACTGACGTTTTGCCCTCATGATTAAAAGGTGCATGAATTGTGTATACTTTACAATGCCAAAATGAAGAATGAAGTCTGTGCCAGATGAGGAAATGCTCATAAAGAAAAGTAAACATTCATAAACACAGAAAGGAGAGACTTGAAACTCAGAAATAGAGAAAGTACTGTAAGAAGTACCTATACAAATTGGAGATGACAACATGAGAAAGAATCAAAGAAACATAGTAGATTATAAATGAAGTTCCAGTGAAAGATTAGCATAAGGTTCTGAAGAGAAACAATATTTTTTACTTTTTCCATTACAAATGAACTAATGCAAATAAAGTTTAATTGCTAAATTTGAGAGGACCTACCAGAATGGTGCAACGATTCCAAGTTTGGTTTCATTTAGGCCTATTGCATACTTTGGATTATCTGCCATAATTCGGTAGTCACATGCCAATGCCATGAGGCATCCACCAGCAGGGCTGGCCCCCTACGATAATAATGGGGATAGTAATTTCAAGAGATGGACAGATCAATGGCACTAATGTGCTATTATAACAGCATCATATTTAATTATACTTTCCTTCAAAACAAAAGTAGGTGATTTTTTGAAAATATTGCTCAATACACCAAGAGTGACTGGTTGGACCTGACAGGTTACAGTGTGAAGGATAGGTAATTTCTGTAAGCTTTATATGTTTTGTTTCAAAGAACAGGAAGCTATGCTTGAATGAGGTAAAGTGAATAGATGGTTTGCACTTGCTGTTAGTTTACGAAACTTTCAAACACAGGCTGTATATAAAATTGTCGTTCTTTTTTCATCTTTCTACCATCGCAGGGTCAAAGCACAGTACCAGAAATATTTGATTCATTGGTCAACTTTATAATCTGGCAAACATAACATCGTAATTTCAATGGTGAACCAGGAAGCAATGGTAATTACAAGTAAAAACAAAGCGTTGGTGAAGCACAGCAGGTCTGACAGCATCTGCGGTGACGCAAGAGTTAACATTTTGAGTCCAGTAACATATTTACCTTGTTTCTTCCAACATACTTTAGTGCAGATTACGAAGTATGAATGTTTCAGATCTAATTACTCTCTTGGATGCTGTCATACTGATATAGGTTTAAGTGTAGTAAAAGTTAGCTGGCAACAGTAGGGATACAGATGGCTGTGGGTTTCACAAAGACCAACAACCTCAGCTGACTTCTTATTTATTTTTCTTCTCCTCCACCTTTATTTACCAGTATTTCAATTTTAAATATTTTTATTGTAATAATTAATGATAATCCATACAACAAGAGTGAAAGAACTGCTGAGTTAACGGTAATAATTTGTATTTATGTAATATTTGTATTAGAGTAAAACATTTTAACACACTTTACAGGAGTGTTATCAGGTCAGAACTGCCAGCAAGTTATAGTGAAGACGAATAATGACAGGTGATTAGAATATTGGTCAAACAGTTTAAAGGAATGACTTCAAGAAAAAATGGGTGGTAAAGATGAGAAGCTTAAGGATGGAATTATAGACTTCAGAGCCTGGATGGTTAAAGGCACAACTGCAAATATTGGAGCAAAGGCAATGATAGGCGCACAAGAGACAAGAATCAATCAGCTTCACATGGTAAGAAAAGAGAGATCACATCTAGAGTGAGACACAGCTAAAGTGAGTATATAGTCTGAGGAATGTGGAGACAATGTAGGAATCTGGTTGAGAAGGGAAGAGGTGCTTTTTGTTTGCTTTCTTTATGCTCATAATTCGTAAGGGGTTTTTAAACAGGATAAATTGAAGTCCAGGATCAAGCGCCCTGTACAAAAGAGTGGTATCACAAGTATACCTCAAATTCATTGGCTGGTGATTGTCAATTTGTAACTAATAATTTACTTTCAGATTGAAGGTAAATAGGGGAAATATTTACAGGCTACAACTAAAAGACCAGTACAAATTTTTTTACAAATAAAATTAAGAACTAAATAATTAAGAGAGATGCTGGGCCAGGCGATGCACTGTAACTGCATGGTGTTGGAACTGGTGGACCCCATTCATTCACAGTGACCACATCTGTAGCAAGTGTTGGTTGCCTGAGGAACTCCAGCTCAGAGTTGATGATTTGGACTCTGAGCGTTGAACACTACCACATATCAGGGAGGGGGTAAAGTTACCTGGACGCTGTGTTTTAGGAGGCAGTCATACCCTTTAGATTAATAATCTCAAATTCGGTCAGCAGTCAGGGAAAGACAGTGAACTTCCAGTGAGGCAGGTAGAGGAATCCAGGAGGTGGTGCTGAAGGAGCCTCAGCCCTTGAGCTTGTCTAGTAGATTTGAGATGATTGCTGCCTGTGTGGACGAGAGCGGGGTCTGTAGGGAAGATGAGCAAACTGACCATGGCACCGGGAGCCATTCAAGGGCAGGGAGAGAAGAGAAATGTAGTTGTAATTGGGGATCGTATACTTAGGGGAACAGTCACCATTCTGTGGCCAGGATCAAGAAGGCAGTGTTACCTGGGTTCAGGATATCTCATCTAGGCAGGAGAGGAACTTGGGGTGGGAGGGGAAGATCCAATTGTCATGGGCCACAGATACGAATGATACAGGCAAAAAGGGAAAAGTGGTTCTGAAGGAATATGAGCAGCCAAGGGCTAAATTGAAAAGCAGAACCAAGCCATGCACAAACTGGCACAGGGTCAAGATCAGAGGTAAACAATTGTCTCAAAAATTAGTGTGGGACAAATGAGTTTGAATTCATGGTACATTGCTGGCAGTACTGGGAGAGGATGGAGCTGTTCCAATGAGACAGGCTCCACCTGAATCATGCTAGGACCGCTTCCCTGACAAACTGCCCATTGCAGAACTAGGGCTGCAGACAGAACTTTAAATAGGTGGGGAGTGAGTTCAGTCGCCTGCAACATTATGGAAGAAGTTAAACTGGGGGAAGACTCAGTAGAGGTTAAAGTTTCCAGAACAAGTAATAAGGCAAAGTATTAAAAGGATCTGGAACCTAATTTCAGGCACATCTGATAAGGGGACAACTATCAGAAGGGGGGGGATGTCAATGCAGGACTAAGGGTGTTGCACTTAAATGCACGCAGTATACAAAACAAGGTACAGAACTTGAAGCGCAGATTGAAATTGGCAGATATAATGCTGTGGACATCACAGAGACGTGGCTGCAAGGGGATCCAAGGATACACATCCTATTGAAAGGATAGGCAGATGGGCAGAGGGGATGGGGTTGCCTTGTTGGCGAGAAATGAAATTAAATTGATAGCAAGAAGTGATATAGAGTCAGAAGGCTTGCAATCTGTCGGGGTAGAGTTGAAAAGGATAAATGACCCCGATGGGCGTTGCATAAAGGCCTCCTAGTAGTAGCCAGGATGTGATGAAGAAAATAAATCAGGAGATGGAAAAGGCATGTAAGAAAAACACTATTACATATTCATGGGGGGCTTCAATTTGCAGGTGGACTGGGAAAATCAGGTTGGTAGCTGATCTCAAGAAATGGAATTTGTGGAATGTCTACAAGATGTTTTTTGGAGCAGTTTGTGCTACAGCCCACTGGGGAACAGGCAATTCTGGATTTGGTGGATGTGTAATGAGGCAGACTTGATGAGGGAACTTAAGATAAAGGAATCCTTAGGGAGCAGTGCCCATAATATGATAGAATATACCCTGCAGTTTGAGAGGGAGAAGCTGATCAAACATAATGGTATTACAATTCAGTAAATGTAACTACTAAGAAATGAGGAAGGAACTGGCCTGAGTTGATTGAAAGGGGAGCCTAGCAGGCAAAATGGGGGAACAGCAATGGCAGGAGTTTCTGGGGTAATTCAGGAAGAAACGTACTAAGGGGAGGACAAGGCAACCATGAATAAAAGCAAAAGAAAAAGCATACAATGTGGTGAAAATTGGTGGGAAGCCTTTAAAAACCAGCTGCAGAAAATTAAAAAAGCAATAAGCAGGAAGATGATGAAATAAGCGGGTAGGATAGCTAGTCATATTTAAAGGAAGATTGCAAGAGTTTTATTTTATAGATATCTAAAAGGTAAAAGAGAAGCAAAAGTGGACTTTGGACCATTGGAAAATGAAGCTAGGGAAGTAACAATGGGGAACACTGAAATCACAGAGGAACTGAACACGTCCTTTGCATCAGTTTTCACAGTGGAAGACACCAATACCATACCAGAACTTCAAGAGGGTTGGGGGCAGAGATAAGTGTAGTGGCTATCACTAAGGAGAAAAGTGCTGGGGAAACAGAAAGGTCTGAAGATGGATAAATGACCAAAAGATGGATTACAGCCCAGAGTTCTGAAGGAGAGATCCCAAAGGACTGGAAAATCGTTAATGTTAACACCCCTGTTAAGAAAGGAGGGAGGGAAGCAGAAGACAGGAAATTATAGACCAGTTAGCTTGACATCAGCGATTGGTAAGATTTGAGAGTCCAGTATTAAGGACGAGCTTGCTGAGAACTTGGAAGTGCAGGGTAAAATAAGGCTGAGTCAACATGGCTTCATGGAGGTCATGCCTGACAAATTTGTTACAATTCTTTGATGAGGTAAGGAGAAAGTTAGATGTGATCTATTTGGATTTCCAGAAAACCTTTGACAAGGTGCTGCACAGGAGGCTGCTACAGAAGATAAGAGCCTATGGTGTTATGGGGCAACGTACTGGCATGCATAGAGGATTGGCTGACAGGCAAAAGGTACAGAGTAGGTTAAAGGGCCCTTTTTCAGGATGCCAGCCAGTAGGTACTGGAGTTCTGCAGGGGTCAATGTAGGGACCAGAAAAAGTCACAATATATATTAATGATCTGGCTGAAAGAATTGAGAGCATTGTTGCTCTGCTTGCAGACGACACAAAAGCAGGTGGAGGGACACTTAGTGTTGAGGAAGTGGGGAGGATGCAGAAGAACTTGCACAGGCTAGGAGATTCAGCAAAGAAGTGGCACATGGAATACAATGTGGGAAAGAGCGAGATGATGCACTTTGATAGGAATAATAGAGGCTTATACTATTTTCTAAATGGGGAAATCTGAATCACAAAGTGACTTGGGAGTCCCACTTCAGGATTCTCTTAAGTTTAACATGCAGGCTCAGCTGGCAGTTAGGAAGGCAAATACAATGTCAGCATTCATTTCAAGAGATCTAGACTACAAGGGCAGAAATGAACTGCTGAGGCCATAAAAGGCTCTGGTCAGGCCGCATTTGGGAAATTGTGAGCAGCTCTGGGCCCCATATCTAAGGAAGGAGGTGCTGGGTCCACTGCTTTTCATCATTTATTTAAATGATTTGAATGCGAACATAGGACGTATGGTTAGTAGGTTTGCAGATGACACCAAAATGGGAGGCATAGTGGACAGTGAAGAAAGTTACTTCAGAATGCAACAGGATCTTGCTCAGATGGGCCAATGGGCTGAAGAGTGGCAGACAGAGTTTAATTTAGATAAACGTGACGTGGTGCATTAGGAAAGGCAAATCAGGGCAGGATTTACACACTTAATGGTAAGGTCCTGGGGAGTGTTGCTGAACAGAGACCTTGGAATGCAGGTTCATGGTTCCTTGACAGTGGAATCGCAGGTAGATAGGACCGTGAAGAAGGCGTTTAGTATGCTTGCCTTTGTTGGTCAGTGCACTGAGTGTAGTAGTCGGGAAGTCATGTTGCAGCTGTACAGGACACTGGTTAGGCCACTACTGGAATACTGCGTACAATTCTGTTACAGCAAGGAAGTTGTGAAACTTGAAAGGGTTCAAAAACAATTTACAAGGATGTTGCCAGGGTTGGAGGATTTGAGCTATAGGGAGAGGCTGAATAGACTGGGGCTATTTTCCCTGGAGGAGTGACCTTATAAAGGTTTACAAAATCACAAGGGGTATGGATTGGGTAAATAGACAAGGTCTTTTCTCCAGGGTGGGTGTGGGTGCAGGGGTGGTGGGGAGTCCAAAACTAGATGGCATAGGTTTAAGGAGAGAGGGGAAAGATTTAAAAGGGATCGAAGGGGTAACTTTTTCATGCAGAGGGTGGTGCGTGTATGGAATGAGCTGCCAGAGCATGCGGTGGAGGCTGGTGCAATTACAACATTTAAAAGAGATCTAGATGGGTGTAAGAATAGGAAGGGTTTAATGGGATATCAGTCACATGCTAGCAAAATGGGACTAGATTTATTTCGGATATCTGGTCCACATGGATGAGTTGGACCGAAGGGTCTGATTCTGTGCTGTGTATCACTACGACTCCAAGTTTCGCTAAAGAGAGAGAGAACACAAACAGGAGTTGTTTTTCCTGGAATCTAGAAACTAAGGGGTTACTTGATCTTAGTTTTCAAGATATTATTGGGAATAACTATAGTATTATTATTCTGGCACATCAGCAATGCCCTTCCTCTAAGGACAATACATTCTTCCTCAGGTGTGCTATGTAGAATTACTCGTACCATAAGACACGTAAAACTATGGCTCTTCACAGCTAAAGTGCAATTTCTATCCTTTTGTATTCCAGACATCTAGATTTAAAGGTCAGCATTCCATTAACCTTGTAAATTTTTTTTGTATATCTGTTCATGACATTTTGAATGATCTACACACCTGGACTTCCAGGTTTATTTGAAAGCAAAGTGCAGGATCAAGTAGTACATGAACATATGAAAATTTGAGTTCAGCAAAAGACTGTGGCCAGGGAGAGGGAGAAAAATGGAATCAATGATTAGAGAATAAGGTTGTGGTGGTGGTGGGGTGGGGGGGGCGCGGTGGTATGTTCTGAAGTCAATGGTTTTGCTCTCCCCAGTGTTTAACTGAAGGAAATTGAGGCCTTTTCAGAAGTGGATGTAGGATAAACAGTCTGACAATGCACAGGTATTTGAAAACAGAATGAACAGGGAGAAAGAGTTTTCACTGTCAGGGCTCATATGGAATATGACAGGCTGTCTTCAGGTGTCATCGCCAAAGGGAAGCCTACGGATGAAGAATAGAAGAAATCCAAAGATAAATTCTTGACCAGCTCCAGAGCAACCTTCTCATTCAGGTTCTTGACAGTGCAGGAGAATTCTGTAATCGCATGGTCCTTCAATTTGAGTTTGCTTGACCCTACTTTAGAAGGTCTGACTTGTGTGGGTCCTGAGCTGAGTCACATTAGAGTGTTATAATGCAATTCTGTTTTGAGGGTTCATTGCTTCAGAGGTAACCACACGTTCATGGTAACAAAGGCCATTGCTGAAGATTCTCAGGATTTTGTTTCCTCGTGAAATTGATGATACTTCCATATTAGTACCAGGTCATAGGATTTTGTGGTGACAATTTTGTAAGTTAATTTCACAATTCAAGTTAACAAATTTGGAAATATTGCTGAATTCACTGATTCTTCAAAAACCTTTCTGACTTTCTAAATTTATTTTGGAAAGTTACTGCGAACTGAATGTAAATCAGTATTATTACATATTGTACTTCACTATTATTTTTAAAAAGTTATTTACATAAAAACAATCTCAGCTCTAGGCAACTATTCACTAAAGAAAATTGCAAGTTATGAAGACAATTTTGATACTTACATTGATTGCAGCTATTGTCACCATATTGGAACCGTACAACTTCAACCACATTTCCTGGACAGATCTCCAGAACTCCCCAGTATGCTCTGGTGTCTTCCCATACATTTCATTGATATCCAAGCCAGCAGAAAAGATCTTAGGAATAGACTAAAATTAAAGAATTGTGATTATATTCCTTTCCAAAAACAAAAAAAAATCCATACTGGAAATAATTTATATTTTAGACTGAAATTTCAATACATGGTCTTTTAAAATTAAATTCTTCATTCTCCTTCATGTTCTTTGCTGTTGACACTTGAATGCAGATACCTCATGTTCACAGGGACATTCTTTCATTCAGAAATTTTGAGTGCAACAACAATGCTGTATTGGTTCAAAGAATTCCAACTTCGTCAGTAATCAATCAAGAGATTTATGTAGTCTTTCCTTTCGTAATAGTTCCTCTCCTTTTACCTTTTCCATTCTCATTAATACTTTGAAAATTTACATCAAATCAGTCCTTGAATTTTAAATTCCGGGGAATACAACTTCAATTTGTTCTTTCTCTCCCCGTAGCTTAAGTTCTGGAGTCCAGGTATTCTTCCAATACACCTACAATGCCCTCCCTCTAAGGCTATTTTTCAGAAGGTGCACTGTCTAGAACTGCTCACAGTACATCACTTCACAGTTGAAGCATAATTTTTACTTTCTTGTATTCTATTATTCGAAATATGAAAGGTCAGTGTTCCGTTAGCCTATTTTTGATTTTTTCATTTACCTGTTCATGACATTTTAATGATCTATATACCTGGTCCTGCAAGTTTCGACAGAGATCCATTGTTTCTCGCTGTTCACCATCCAGAAAGTACAATGCTTTATCCTATTTAGGTCCAAAGTGGATGAAATATGTTGAATAGTTGAAGCCCTAAGACAAATCCTGCAGGAAACCATTAGTGACATCCTGCCAACATCTCCGTTTCAGTTTTGCATTATTTTCCTGAGAGTTGCTGAGGTGAACAGTAGATACTTCGATAAAAGAGGCATAAATCTTAAAACTTTTGGTCTTTAGCACTTAACTGCATACTGACTTCATCAACTGAGCAGGTGGGGAAAGCAATTTAAAAATCCGGAACATCTGGATCCCTTTTGTTGAGGTAATCTCTGAACTGTAAACATGACACACATTTGCAACAGATCATATTCCATTATTGATCCCCCATAATACACATTTGAAGATTACTAACATTGCTTACACTCCACTAAACTATAAACACTTAAGGGTTAAGGTACAGGAACAAATAGCGCATTTGCGCATTTCCTCATGGTATGACAACAAGATTTCTAAACAATCCAATAAAATATATTCTAAGCAGGTACGTCAGTAGCAAGTACACACTGATTGTCAAGGTCAGTTTATGATTCAGTTTATCAGTGATTACAAGGACAGTAATTACGACAGCTCCCTGATTCTATTAGAGATACCAACCATAGTAATCCACTGCACAGAATTAATTCTATAATTATCTTTTGGCTGCTCAATTTCACGAGTAAGGTCAGAATATTCACTTTAAAGTACAAGATTTGTTTCAAACCTTAATCCCAACTGTAATAATCTACTGTGAGATCCTATTATTTTTAACATGTTCATTTTGTCATAGTTGTTTCCAAAATGGATTAATGGCTTGGTCTTAGGGATACAGCACATAATCCCAAAGTTTGCAGATGGTGCAAAACTCAAATGCTGTAAACAATGAAGATTGCAAGAGAATTAAAGCACATAGATAGACTGTTGAGGAGAGGCAAATGAACTAATTAAATAAAGTGTGCCAGAATTCCAGACGGAGACCAGGCAGCACAAATACACAAATCTTTGAAAACTGTAGGACCACTGCTTTTAATATCCGAAGCATAATGTACAAAAAAAAGTTGCGGTAAAAAGGGAAAAGCCAGCATAGATAACAGTGTGGAGCTGGAGAAACACAGCAAGCCAGGCAGCATCAGAGGAGCAGGCAAGTTGACGTTTTGGGTCAGGAAACCTTCTTCAGAAATGGGGGAGGGGGGAGGGGGAAGGGAGTTAAGAAATAAATGGAGAGAGGAGTGTTGGGGCTGGGGAAGGTAGGTGGGCTGGTGATAGGTGAGTGCAGGTAGGGAGGGGTCAGTGAAGTGGGAGAGAAGATGGACAGGGTGTGTCAGGTCAAGGAGGCGGGGATGAGGCTGGGGTGGGGAGATTTTGAAACTGGTAAAATCCACATTTAGGCCAATGGGCTGTAGACTCTTGAGGTGGAATTTGAGATGCTGCTCCTCCAGTTTGCAGGTGGTGTCATTGTGACACTGGAGGAGGCCCAGGATGGACATGTCACCAAGGGAGTGGGAGGGGGAGTTGAAATGGTTTGCGACCGGAAGCCAGCATATAGTAGTTAAGAACAAATTGTGTTTAACTAACTTGCTGGCATTTTTTGAGGAGGTAACAGAGGGGTTCAATTAGAGTAATGCTGTTAATCAGTTATAGACTTCCAAAAGGCATTTAATAAACTGCTGTATAATAGATTTGTGAGCAAAGTTACAGCCCTTAGAGTAAAAGGGACAGTAGCAAAATAGACACAACACTGCATTAGTGACAGGAAACAGAAAGTAGTAATTAATGAATGCTTTTCAGACTGGAGGAAGGGTTACAGTCAAGATCCTCTGGGATCAGTAATAGGTACCAACTGTTTATTGAAATATTCAATTTCTTAGTCCTTATTGTACAAGTCACAATTTCAAAAGGTGTGGATGATTCAAAACTAGGAAATATTGTGAACTGCGAGAAGGATAACCTGGAACTCCAAATGGGCATTGACATTAGTGCAATGAGCAAACAAATGGCTGATGAAATTTAATGCAGAGAAGTGTGAAATTATTCATTTTGGTAGGAAGTATGAAGACAGACAAAATAAAACAAAGGCTACAAATCTAAAGGGGATACAAGAACAGAAGGATATGGGTAAATACGGGTGCTATTCATTGAAGATGGTAGGACAGGCTGAGAGCTTGGTTAATAAATCTTACGGCATCCTAGATTTTATTATTAGGGACGTAAAAGTGCAATAGTGAGGAATTATGTTAACATATATAGAAATTTGCTCAACCTCAACTGAAGGTTCTGAGCACAAAACTTCAGATGGTCTGTGAAGGTGTTATAAAGTTGGCCGCAAATATTCACAAAAATGGCTGTAGGAACGAGGAATTGACAATAGTACATCAATTTGAGAAGTTGGACAAGTTTAAGACAAGATTTGATAGAGGTATCCAAAATCATGAAAAGTCTGGACTGAGCAGATAGGAAGCAATTGTTCCCATTGTATGGAAGAATCAAGATCAAGAGGACTTGGATTAAAAGGACTTGGCGAAAGAAGCAATCGGGATACGAGGAAACCATTTTCGTGCAGTGAGCGATTAGGACCTGGAATGCATTTCCTGAAAGGGTAATGGAGGCAGGTTCAATTGAGGCATTCAGGATGGATTTGGATTACTGTCTGAAAATGAACACTGTACATAGCTACGCGGGAAAGATGGGAGAATTGCTCTAGGCAAATTGCTGCTTTAAAACAAGAAAAATACAGTACAGGAACAGGCCCTTCGGCCCTCCAAGCCTGCACCGACACATTTTTGCCCTTCCATACTAAAACTATCTTAATTTACAGGATCTGTATCCTTTTATTCCCTTCCTATTCATGTATTCATTCAGATGCTTCTTGAATGCTGCTACTGTGTCTGCTTCCACCACATTTTCTGGCAAAGCATTCCAGACACTCACCAATCTCTGTGAAAAACTTTCCTTGCGCATCTCTTTTAAACCTCCCCCCTCGCACCTCGAACCTGTGTCCCCTAGTAATTGACCCTTCCCCACCCTGAGAAAAAGCCTCATACTTTCCACTCTATCCATGCCAGTCACAATCTTATAAACTTCTATCAGGTCACCCCTCAACCTTCTCTGTTCCAGTGAAAACCAAACTCAGTCTATCCAACCTTTCTTCATAGCTAAAATCCCCCATACCAGGCAACATCCTGCTAAACATTTTCTGTACTCTCTCCAAAGCATCCACATCCTTCTGGTAGTGTGGTGACCAGAACTATACACAATATCACAATTGTGGCCAAACTAAAGTTCTATAGAGCTGCAGCATAACTTGTCTATCGTTATAATCAATGTCCCTTCCAATGAAGGCAAGCATGCCATTAGCCTTTTTTATTACCTTATCTACCTGCGCTGCTACCTTTAGTGATCTGTGGACCTGCACAGTCAGATCCCTCTGCACATCAATACCCCTAAGGGCTCTGCCATTCACTGTATAATTTCCACCTGTACTTGACCTTCCAAATTGCATCACCTCACATTTGTCCAGATCAAACTCCATCTGCCATTTTTCTGCCCATGCCGCCATACCTCCATGCCCGTAACCCTATTGTATCCTCTGGCAATCCTCCTCGCTATCTACAACTCCACCAATTTTTGTATCATCCACAAACTTACTAATTTGAGCAGCTACGTTTTCCTCCAAATCATTTATGTAGATAATGAACAGCAGAGATCCCAGCACTGATCCCTGTGGAACACCACTAGTCTCAACCCTTCATTCCGAAAAGCATCATTCCACCGCTACTCTCTGGTCTCCTATGACTGAACCAATTCTGTATCCAGCTTGCCAGCTCACCCGATACCATGTGACTTCACCTTTTGTACCAGTCTGCTATGAGACACCTTGTCAAAGGTTTTACCAAAGTCCACATAGACAACATCAACCTTTGCAAAGGTGGCACAGACACCTGCAGTTTAATGGCCTCCTTCTGTGCTGCAACCATTACGTAAAATGCAAGGAAGTAATGCTGAACATTGATAAAACACCAGTTAGGCTTGTTGGTGGTGGGGTCGGTGGGGGGTTCCGAATGCAAGCATGCACGTGTGTGTTCAATTCTGGTCAGCATACTTAGCCAGATACTAAATCCTTGTTGAGGGTGCACAAGAGATTTATTATTACATTCATACTAGTGTTTAGACACTTCAGTTATGCAGAGAGCCTAGTGAAGTTTTAACAGGAAATTTGATAGAGGTCACCAAAACCAGAATGGGTTTTCATGTAGAAAATGAGGAGAAAGTGTTTCCAGTAGCAGAAGAGTAGGTAAGTGGAGGAAAATGATGTAAGGAGACTGACAAAAGAACATGAGGAAACACTGATTTTTACACAGCTTTGAATTGTTGACATTTGGCACGCACTGCCTGAAAGGATGATGAAAGCAGATTCATCGTAACAATCAAACAAGCATAATTCCATGTGGAAAAAAATTAAAGGCTGGAGAGAAAGATTAGGGAAGTGGGCTAACTGAATAGTGCTAACAAAGAGCTAGCATGTGCATAACAGGTTGAACAGCCCCCTTCTGTGTTGTAATTCTGGTATACTTACAGAAGTGAGAACCACACCCCGACATTCTCTATCCATCTCAAGTTTCTCCATATTAATGGCAAATTCTGTGAGGAATTCCAGGCTTAGACTGTTAACAGGAGGTTTCTTCATCTGAATCACTGCAACTCCTAAACACGAGTTAATCAAAGGCTTTGCTGACGAATGCATTAAAAAGATTATTAGCCCTTAGACATTTAGAAAACAAAACACCTGTGCAATGATACCATTTCAAAACAAAAGTGTCACGAGTTGATGGTTAACTGATAAAACGAATACTGGAAACACAATAATTTTGGTTAAAGGGATGGACAATTTCCACATCAAGTTGTTAATATTCATAGTGTTTCACTAATAACTGCCCAATATAGCCCTGCTAATTAGGAACATAGGAATCAGTAGCGGGATGAGGCAATTCAGCCCTTCGGGTTCCCTCTACTGTTTAACATAATCATGGCTGATCTCATCCTGGTGTCAAATCCACTTTCCTGCCTACTTCCCATAGCCCTTTATCCCACTTCTCATCAGAAATAAATTTATTTCTTTCTTGAATCTGTTTATTGATTCTGCCTCCACTGCACTCTGGGGCAGCGAGTTCCACCGATTCACAACCCTCAAGGAAGTACTTTCTCCTCATCTCAGTTCTGAACCTAGTTTCTCTCACTAGCTCCATACCCTCTTCTTTGCAACTGTCCCACAAGGGGGAACATCTGTTCAACGTCCATCTTTTCAGTCCCCTTTCGCATAATATATATCTCAATCCAATCCCATCCTCATTCTTTTGAACTCCAGTGAGTAAAAGCCAAATTATTCAACTGCTCCTCATATGACAGCCTTTTCATCCCTGGAATCAATCTGGTGAACCTTCTCTGAACTGATTTCAATGCCACCACACTTTTTAAGTAAGGAGACCAAAACTGGACATAATACTCCAGATTTTGTCTCACCAACACCTTATATAATTGTAACAACACTTACAGTCATAGAGTCACACACCACAGAAACAGAACCTTCAGTCTAACCAGTCCACGCTGAATATAATCCCAAAGTAAACTTGTCCCACCTGCCTTCTCCTTTACTTCTATGATCCAGATCTTTTGCAATAAACGCCTGGATTCCATTTGCCTTTATTATATGCTGCACCTGCAAGCCTATTTTCTGTGATTCATGCACAAAGATGCCCCAGATCCCTCTGCACTGATGCACTTTGAATCTCCTTCCCATTTAAATAATAATTTGCCCTTTTATTTTCCAGGCAAAATGGACAACCTCACACTTGCCACATGGAGAGTACACCAGAGATTACAACCTCCAAAGATGTCCCAAAGTGCACAGGGTACTTTTCAGAGATGTTTCAAAACACGTTGTTTGTGTTATTAGCTTGGCTCAGCTGGTAGCATTTTGCCCTCTGTACCAGAAGGTTTAATCGCCAAACCAGAATTTGAGCGCAATCTCATTTGCACTTCAGCACAATATTTATGCAATGGTACATAAAACCAAATAGTTAGCTTCTCACATTTCTCTCCTTTTTTAACATTAATACCCATAGAATCAGGTACTGTCTAGTTCATGCTTATATGTTCACATATTTTATAACTCTATGGCACAATTCAAGAAATATTACTTTACAATTTCTGAGACTGTTTAACAAAAACTCACTTTCATACATGGATTACACAGTCACTGTGCATTCCAGTTATACTGCCTGTAGGAAGAAGGCATTGTTAATAAGCTTATTTACAATGGGCACAATGAAAGGTTGCTTACCCCCAATTCTCAAGTGTTTGAGATACAGGACAATGGCAAGTTCACTATGGTTAGTGGTTGTTTCGCTTTGGGATAGTTTGCGCTGAATAGGCCTTGACAAAAAGGGCTTACCTTCACCTCTGTTTCAGTGATATTTGTTGTGGATGGAGCTGCATTCCACTAAAGGTGAGGGGATGTGCATCTTCTTGTAGTTAGTAACAAGTTGTGACACTAGTTGGTGTGATAGGGAGGATCCTTCCTCTCCAGGAGCTGGGCCGAGAAAGTAGTGTCTTGTCTTCTAGGATCATGGGGACAGTTTTATTCTGATGATCTTCCAGAGTGCTGTTCAGCACGACCATATATGATGACATGACCAAATATCAGGAGGGGGTTCTCTTCTGACTGACTCCATCCAACAATCATTTGGCATGGAGGGATGGAATTTATAGAATATGTGCAATGGGCAGAATGTGCAGGATTTCACTGTGAAACTTTCTTCATGAATTTTGATGCAGGCAACATTAAGACACTGACTGTACTTCCACCGCCGATTCTCCCAAGTCAGCCAACCTCATGATTTCAAGGATTCCATCAGGTTTTCAGCCTGTTGGGAGTTGGATGTTGGCCGAGTAGAGAAAGTCTCAAGGATTTGCACTGAAGGTTACAAACCATACTAAACTTCTGGACGATTAGCTTCATCTGGAAATAACAATACTGGACACAGTATTTGTCAACCACCTCTGGAAGAATCTCAACTTGCGTTCATTTTTTCAATCCAAACTGCATTCAGCACAGGCATGTTTTTTTCTAAGAACTTTACAGTTTTCTGGAGAGAAGGCTGACATAACCTGTGGGATATTTAAAGAGGCAACACACCTATCTCCAAGTCTGAAGCTTGGAGGAACAATATTACTTTCCGCTCTCCACTGGTCTCTTCTGTGGGCTTGTGAGCAATATGCTGTAGAAGGGCTGGGAAGAAGTTTCTGAATTCCACTCCCAAGCACAGCGATGTCCTGGACAGAGGAATAAGCGACAATTACTTGCATTAAAGCTGTCCAGTCAAAAAGAAACTCAGTCTTTCCTCTTGTTTGGGAGCTGTGGATTTGAGGTACATTCACGGCTTTTTGCAAACCAAAATTAACTTGGACATACAGCTGTTCACATATAGTTGGCTGAATGCCTTGTCAAGGCAGTATTTCAAATAAGCAGAGGAAGTTGGAAGATTGCTACAAATAGTCAAACAAATTGTCACTTAAAAATTGTTGGATGGTAGGTTCTGTCTTCAGTGATATTCATAAATGATTCTGTTGTATAAACTTGAAAATTGAATAAATGTGAAAAAAATCCATGTATTTCCAATTAGTGTTCCCACTTGAATTTCCCAATGATGAGTAAGTTTAATCTTCACAAGCCTCCATTCATTTAGGGTCTCGGCTCAGTCTTCTGCCACATTTCCACAGAAAACATCATTCACCTTGGATTTGGATTTGGATTTGGATTTGAACTTTGTTATTACCCTGACAAGCATTCCTTGGGATCCTTGACAACATAACAGACACAACTTTCTGAAAATGAAGCCAACTCACTGGGACTCTATCAGCTGAATGTTGTCGCTTCAATTAAAACATAAAGATGGGGTGCACTTTTCTTTCTAACACCTGCCTCAAAAGAATAAGTCTGAACTTTACACAGAAGAAAGATCATTCAGCCTAATTTTCCAGGAGCCTGTTTCAGAAGGCCTCTGCTCCACAACAGAAAGAAAACCATCTGAGTTTGAACTTCACTCATTGACATGTTGCCCATAGGGTTAAGGTTACTACGTAACACCGAAACTGTATAGCTATCATTCTACACTGAAAAACATTAATATAATTAATGTTTTATCAAAAAACTGAATATCATGTACCATTCATTACTTCTCCTGAATCGCAACACGTGAACTTCTGAAATTACCTGTGTTGCTGTCAAGTTCCACTACCATGTTCTTATTTGAGAACAGTCTCCCTTGGCATGATGATTTGCATGGCACCTGGCAAAATATTCTTGTTGATTTATACTGTAAACTTTTAATGCCATACAGTGATAAGTTTCCTGAAAGACAAAATATCTGCAGCTACTAAATGTTCAGCAAATGACAGCATCTGGTGTCAACAGTTTGTCATTTATTAGGTAACATCAAATGTTTACAACTCTTTTAAAGCAGAAATCTTAAGCTATTTTATTGCAGTAGCAAGCCAATAACCAACTTCCCAATAAGAAGAAATAATAGTCTGTGATAGCAGACCACGAAACTATTTACAGTTATGAACCAAATAAACAATTTCTGATGAAAAGCCAACTTTAATGCAGGAAAATTTCAGCAAAAAGTCTGAATAACTCCAAGGTACAAAAACAAGGAAAAATCCTTGATTGTAAGCTCCAATGATAACTACCTGAAATCTAGTGGAAACAATTTATTGGTGAAAAGGACAAATAGAACAATGGGGTAGATTTAAAATTGACTGGTCAAAAGACGAGCAAGAAACAAAGGGTGTAAAGGTGTACCAAATAACAAGCACACTGAAAGTAGATACTCTGTGGCAGATTAACAATAAACTGAGCAAGGGCAATCAAGAGAAGTAGAAACTGAAGGGTGGGCTGCACGAAGAGTGGACTAAGTCCAAAACACACCAACTAATTGGCCCCCAATTGCAAAAGTGACAGAACTAGATTACATGTCAGAGTCACGGTAAAATAAAGACTCAAGATAGTGGCAATCTCAAAGCACATGAATTGGTACAAAGGGAACCAGACAGAGGAACATTTCATTTTAAATAAACAAATGTAAATTAAAGGTAAATAATTAAACCTGGACTCTATATAAAGGTGTTGCAGTTTCCATGCTGTGCATTCTGTGAGTTAAATGAGCTTGCAGCTAAAGTAAATGTCGTTAACATCAGTTTAGATTTCAGCAAAGTTTTTGCTGCAGGACTGTTTATGAGGTTGGTTATGAAGAAGAAATGTATGGAACAACAGGGTAGGTATTAAAGTTGAAACAATCCGCAACAAATGAGTCATCGAAACTATTATATAGCAGGAGGTGATTAGTGCATCATCTACGATCTTTTATTATTCATGTTGTTGGTACACAATTATTTGGCAACTCTTGGACTCACATGGAGGTTGCAAACAATCAAGAGCACGCCAAATCAATTGCAAAGTGCCTGAATGATTAAAAAGCTGACTGAGAACACGAATAAAGTTCAGTGGCGACAAATGCAAACTTTAGCCCCGAGGCAGGCAGAGGAGAAGAGACGACAAAAAAGCTTACAAACCAAAAAAACAGATTTACAGACATGCTTTCAGTAAATTAAGCAAACACAGACCAGAAGATATATACAAGCAACGTTTTATCGGTTATGGAATAGCTGGGTGTAGTCAGTGACCAGACACTGTGACACTGCGTTGCCTGGCAGATTGCAGACTACAGCACCAATCAGGTACTGAGGGAGGAAAAGTGCAGGACTGGTACCGGGCCACCGGCTGGACTGTGCTAAACCCCTAAATCTGGCTCCGTTGACCCAGGGAAAAGACAGGTCGACTTCACGGCAATGAGCTCCATGGCCACAGCTGTACGATCTCGGTGTCACAAAAACAGACCTGAACTACACAAACGCAGCCCCTTCAGCATCGCCGCCATTGTCGAGCGGAACCTAACAACCGGAAACACGCAGCAACATCCCACGCCACCCACTGGCCCGTCTTGCTATTACAGCAATTGGGATCTCCAGTAGCTCCGAGCTGCGAGTCCATCACTGTGCGCATCTCAAATCACAGGATCTCTCCTCTGGTGGTTTCCAAAACAAAATCCCTGCTCTTACGGACTGTAGCAAATCTGCATCCCATCCTTCCAATATTCCCAAAGTGTGAGACCTCACAGTACTGTTAACCTTTGATACTCCTGGAGCCACTCCAATTTTGATAAATCACTGTTTTGTCAACCTGTTTTTCATTACTATCCCGTTGTATAAAACAATTGAATTTTATCAAGCAACATATCAAGTAATTGGTGTGATCTTGCACAAATGGCATCAGTCACTGTTTTGATGTGTTTGTGGGGGCACAACTGAGAGATCCCACAGAGGTCACCCATCACTACCAGGAAGAAGCCACTTGCATTAATGCTCATCATGGCTGTTACCACATTCATTGGAAGAGGATGGTGTTTCAGTCTTGCTGCCCCTCAGGGTTTGCTTTAGCAGCTGGTAAAGTTCCATCACAGTTTCCTGGGACATACAGAACCTGTATCAATATTGTGCCTGAGATAGTAGGAACTGCAGATGCTGGAGAATCTGAGATAACAAGGTGTAGCGCTGGATGAACATCTAGGCCTGAAACGTCAGCCTTCCTGCTCCTATGATGCTGTTTGGCCTGCTGTGTTCATCCAGCGCTACACCTTGTTATCTCAATATTGTGCCTTGCTTGTTGCCAGGAAATGGAACTGGAGGCAAAAATCTCTGGTTCTCCTATGGACCCAATGCATCTGGGGGTCCCTTCACCTGCAGCCTCTCGCTGGTGATGGGTTGCTGCTGCTCTTACCATTATCTTCATCCACCTTTGCCTGCTTAGGAAGGCAGCCAAAGAGACCAACATCCTAACAGTGGCTGGGTGCAGGACACTTGCTGGCAATGACATATGTTGGGAACATTAGGAACAAATAAGGATGTGAAGACAGTGGTGACATATGGTGTAGATGAGGGTTGTGCACACACTCCTCCAGACAGTAAGACATGCAGCTTTTCAATAATGAAGGCCATGTCTCCATCATTCATTCAGTTTCAACCGCAGTGTGTGCACCAACTTGATGAAGGTGCCACACCGGCTGAGTGACCAACACATAACAGCGATAGGGAGAGTGCCTGCTGCACTCCAAATACCTTTCCATCCCAAACCCACATCAACCATGAAATATATCATTGCATTCACTAGAGTCCATTGTAATACTTACATGACAGATGATGAAATGATTATATTCACTTTCTGCAGAAGCCTTGTAGGTGTCACAAGTCCTGGCTCGCTTTTGGCCATCATTAGCCTCTTGTTAAGTTATTGCCACTGACTTATGCAACATTGAGATGTCAATGTTCAATTTGCAAGGACAAATGGCATGATGCATTGCAAATGGACTACGAAATGATTGTGAATTAAATGTAGCTGCAGTCTGGAAGCATATGATTCATGTATTTGACCCTTCAATATCTTAGCATCCAGCAGATGGTTTTTCATCCATCAAGCTGACTCTGCCCACCCTGGATGTTGTCACAGGTATTTTCCGGTTGTATTTAGCATCTAACGAATAGTAGATGACAGTAGGGACTGCAACTAGTGGTGGGCACCATCAGCATCAGCCTCTGCCTGATCACTAGATCTCCATATCCCAATTTACCATGTACTACCTCAACAGCCCATTTGTGGGCCATTTAACCCATTATGCCTCATCTGCTATTCTCGATCATGGCTGATCATCTATCTCACTGCATTTTCCTGCTTTCTCTTCATATCTCGTGATGTCACCAATAAATATTAACCTGTTGATCTCTTCTTGAACATACTCAATGAGAGCATCCAGAGCCATCTGGAGTAGATACACAAAAGATTCACTATCCTCTGAGTGAAGAAGTTCTTCCTCTCAGTCTTAAATGGCCTGCCCATCATTCTGAGTCTGTGTTTCCTAGTTCTGGACCACCGTTTCACTCCCCATCCCCTGAGGCAGGGGAAACATTCTTTCTACACTTACTCCATCTTGCTTTTAGGAATATTGTAAGTTTCAAAGAGATTACTTCTCATTTTCCTAAGTCTTGGAGAATTCAGACCCAGTCCCCACAATCTCTCTTCATTAGATAGTCCTGCCATTCTCAACGATCAGTCTGGTAAACCTTCACTTGCTTGATGGAAAGTATATTCTTCTTTAGGTAAGGAGACTGAAACTTCACACAATATTCCAGATATGTCCTCACAAACATTCTATCCAACTAAAACAAGACATCTTTACTCCTGTACTCAAATCCTCATGCACTCAATGCAAACTTAGAATTTGCCATCCTAATTGTTTGCTGCACCTACACATTAGCCTTCAGAGATTTATGAATAAAGACATCTAGATTCCTTCAGAGATCAACACTTCCAAATCTCTCACCATTTAAAGAAGTAGTCTGCATCTCTCTTCCTCCCACCAAAGTGGATAACTTCACAATTATTCACAGTATATTCCATTTACCATCTCCTTGTCCACTCATTCAGCCTCTCCAAATTTCCTTGAAGCCTCTTTTCATTCTCCTCACACACATTCCCACCTAATTTTGTGTCATCCTCAAACTTGAGAATATTTCATTTGCTCCCCACATCCAAATAATTGATTTGGAAGTCCATAGCTGAGGCCCACACATCGATCCTTTTGATAACCCACTAATCCTAACCCAGGGTGTCAGTCAGCTAAGTTGGTTTAACAGCTGGTTTGCAATGCATAGTGATGCATGGTTTAATTCCCCCACTGGCTGAGGTTACCATGAAGGTGCCTCCTTCTCAACCTCTCCCCTCCACTGAGGCATGATAACCCTCAAGTTAAATCACCAGCAGTCAACCCTCTCTAACAAGAGAGTGGAACTATGACAACTTTACTTCTACTTCAGTTACAGCCTGCCAACCTAGCATGATCTAATTTTCTGAAGAAGGGTCCAGGCCCAAAACGTCAGCTTTCCTGCTCCTCTCTTGCTGCTTGGTCTGCTGTGTTCATCCAGCTCCACAGCTTGTTATCTCAGACTCCAGGATCGGCAGTTCCTACTATCTCTGAGGATCTAATTATTGCTACTCCGTGTTTACTTTCCGTTCACCTTAATTGGTAATCACCAAGCCTTAACCCATGCCAGTTTATTACCCCGATCCCAAATGCTCTAATTTTGTTTACTAACCTGTTATGTTTATCAAAAGCCCTCTGAAAATCCAAATAAACCACATACACTGGATCCTCCTTATCTATTCTGCTAGTAACACACAAAAAAGATCTCTTGTGGTGCAGTAGTTGTATGGCCCAGGTTCAAGTTGTGTAATAATATATCTTGAAGCAGGTTGCTTAGAAAATAGTAACACCCAAAACTAAAACTCTTATTTACTTTCCCATGGGAAATCAATGTTGATTGCCCAATCAGATCATTAGTTTCTCAGTGTCCAGTAATCACATCCTTTACAATATTTTTGAGCATTTTTTCTATTACTGATGCCAGGCTAATAGAACTGTGGTTCCCTAGTTTCTCTCTCCCTCCTTTCTTAAACAGATTATATTTGCAACATTCCAATCTCCAGCTACACATAAAATTTTGAATGATGATCATGGTGCAACATCGATAGTGAAGTAAATCATCAGGCCTCTGGGATTTGTCAACTTTCAGTCCCTTCAATTTCACTAGGAGCTGTTATCGTTCCCCTCAATTTATTCCTAACACTAATCTTCTGTTGATAATCCATAAATTTATCTGTTCCCTGACCATTAATGTTTGCACATTCTTTACCCTGGTCTGACTGTTACTTAAATCTATTTCTTTGAACTTCGTTATTTTCACAAGTTGCTCTCCTGCCTTTTCCTGCCATCTTACAGACTTATAGTTCTAATTACAGTCCACTTATTCTTTTCTCTAGGGCACTGGTAAAGTCAATAGTTGTTGTTCTTGGCTGAATGGTAGAACAGTGGAAATATAATAGCAAAGCTCTGCAGAGGAAGTCTGAGTATTTTAATAGGTGTGGATGACAATTGCTCCTCTATTTTTACAGACCTGCCTTATACGATTGTCTAGTACAGCAGTTCTTTGAATTTTTTTTTTCCCCAGACTTGGCTACATCTGCAATGAAACTGAATTGCATAGGTCAAATGCAGGAAACAACTGACAAGGAAATAGTTTTGAACTGTATCATGGTTTCCCACCCGTTGATTGGCAGATGTTATGGGATTCTAATAAGTCTGCACTCTGAAGATGATCTGAAAATATTGCTTCATCAAATACTTATATCTCCTTTCTTCTGTCAGTAGTTGACAATTAACAGATTGCATCTAATTAGCCTAAACAATCCAATGCACTGTGATTCAAGGAAACCCAAATGACAGCGAGCCACAAGAATATAGAAAAAAAATCTTCAAATACTGGCAATGCTGAAGAGTAAACACTCCAAAAAACCTTTACAGATGCTCACATATCTGTGGTTCCAACATTCTGTTTTTACAATACAATCTCCAGACATTGCGTGGCCCACCTGGAAAACTATTCAGGCGCATCAGGTTCTGGTGTATTATTTCAAGGACACCGGATCTCACTGCTCACTGCTGAATTACAGCGTAAGCATTTGGAAACTATTTCAATGCATTTGGAAATTGTAGTCTGCAAATCTCATCTTTTTAATGGATTACATTTATTTCTATTTCCCCTGTAACAGAAGCCAGGGGTTGGGGGGGCGGGGGGGTGCGAGTGGTGTAGAGATGAAACATGATTCATGTAAAACATGCAGCTGCCAAATATAAAGCAAGTCCTCCTTATACACACGTACACACACATACAGCACCACGGTTCGTATTTAGGTTCTGCCACTTGCCCTTACTGAAAGGAATGCAGAGAGGATCCAGAATAATTCTGTTCGGGATGGAGTTCAGCAAAAAATTTATTTGGTTTTTCATCATTTGGGTTTGTTGCAACCTGCAT